ATTGAATTGCAATATCCATGCTACATATGTCTTCACATTTATTAGTTATGTTTGTAATAATTTTAAATGTAGATTAATCAATGATTGAGTATTAATTTCTTTTGAATATATAAATTGAAATCAAATGGAACAACGCCAATTGCATGCCTTACTACTAACACTTAAAGAAAATCGGGTTCGTGTCTTAAGTCTTTAGTATACTCACCTCACAATTCCGCTTTTAAAAAATAATCCATAACTAAAAGCGGTAATATTCACATTTGTACTTTATTTAAACGTTTGCTGGCTGGCCCGCTACGATACGTTAATTACCATTTCAACTACATACAATTATTAAACTAAATATCCTTAGAAAATATATACAAAAGAATCATTTAATTACATTAGCATAACCATAGATAATTAAGTAGAAACTAATAAATCTAACACTTATTCGAAATATGCAATAAACCCTGACTCATTGACTATTGTCTTATATGTATGTATATGGTCGCGTTCCACTCCAATCAACTAGTAAGGATTAATTGCTGGATATCTAGTTGGTAACATGGCAATTGGACCCTTATTGCTAAGTTCATTTTCCGATTCAGAGTCTTGTGTAGACGCATACGTATTATAGGGATCACTTCTACTGGTCCAGCCGTGTCCACCACTCACAACTCCTTGGCTGCTGCTGGCTCCATCATAGCCATGCACTTGACCGCCATGTATGTGTAGATGTATTTCTTTCGTTGGCTGATGTTCGTGTCCATGCGAATAAGAGGCAGCTGGCGCTGAGGCGGCCCAACCACCAGTTACTGGTGGCGTCCAACTTTGATAATTCCATGAGGGCCCAGAGTGTCCATGGCCACCGAAGTCAGATTTCAGCGTAATAAATTTCGCCAATATGGCAGCAGCATTCATTAGGACAAGCAACTTGACCAGGAATAGCGTTTTCATGCCGAGCATTATGAGGAAAGCGACCATAGCGGTGAGGATGCCAAATTTGAAAATGAGGGGAATCAGAGCCATTTGTAGGCGGCGAATTTTTCCGAAAGTGCGACTCTCTGGAAAGAAAAAAATTACAAGTAATAAATATTAAGTGCTGATATTTATTCTATTTTAAATAATTTGTGTGTAATTTGTCTCTACATGATAAATTTGGTATGTAAAAGTAAACTGAAAGTGTTTAATTTTGCACACATTAGGAGAGGAATCTGGTTACCTTCCTTTATATGCGTAAATTTAAACAAAAATTTTTTAGAGGAAATTTTAAACGTTTTAAATATGTGTATACTGTGAAATAGAGAACNTCGTAAAAAAAGAGGAAATTTTAAACGTTTTAAATATGTGTATACTGTGAAATAGAGAACAAGAAATTTTTAGATCTCAACAAGCAAATTTGAAAATTGTTCTACGCCACACATATCGGTCGTTTAATAATATAGTGATGTAACTCAAAATTTACGTTTTTGGAGATTTTAAGTTTAATGAATTATTAAAATATGAGCATCAATCGAAGGGGGTTTGAACATATTTTTATTTCTGGACTCTATTTGGCGGGGTTGCCACATGTTTGAAAATTAAAATTCCCCTTAAATCATTATTTAATTAAAATATGTATCGCAGTGTCCGGCGAAGGAGAGTTAACAATGAATAAACTTGAAAATACTTGTGAAGAGGGCTGCCACCTGTGTAAATTAACTAATTCAAAAAGTATATGAAACACAAAAATACCGTAGTGAAACGAAAGAATGTTAAGAAATCTTGACTTTGAATGTTTGAAGAGAGTTGTCACGTGTTAATAAAGTTACATTCAAATTATTTAGTAAGGTGGCTGAATTGCTAAAAGATGGGTATAAACCGAAATGGGTTTGAAAGAGATTTATTCCTGCCCTTAATTTAGGAGGGTTGCCATTTGTTCGAACATGTGTATCACAATGTCAGATGAAACAGATTTAATTTTATTTGTCAATGTTATTTGTCAATGTTATTGTGGCTTTTCAACATTTTATTTTTAATATTTTATTGAGCTTTGTACCACGATTGTTTATTNGGGCTTTTCAACATTTTATTTTTAATATTTTATTGAGCTTTGTACCACGATTGTTTGTTAGGAAAAATTGAAAAAGCAACAAAGTCTAAGCGGTAGAAGTTATAGCACTATTTCGGAGATCACCACATCTCCTCATCAGACTTCTTTTTTCTAGACTTCAGCAGGGATCGAACCTGCGAATTCGATGTTCAAAGTCAGAAGCGTTAACCACTGAGCTATGTACATCCCGTAAACTCTTGTTGCTAATTCATTTTCCTTTAATTTTATTTTATTTTTTTTTTTTGGGAATACTTTTGAAAAGTCCTTAGCCTGTAAAGTTTTATTTTATTAACTAAGATATTTTTTCACCGGTATGGGGAGATTTGAAATTCGATGGGAATAAAAACATGCACTATACGAGACTGCTCTTTACCCAGAAACGGCTGCACGATTTCGATGAAATATGGCACTTGGATCTCATATAGCTCTGACTAACATTTGGAATATTTTTTTAAGTTTTTGAAATTGAATTTTGGATGTATTAATGCCATGCGGGTTCACTAGTTTATTTAAGTTTCATGTCAAATAATTTTTTTTTGGAACTTAAAATGCTTAATGAATTTCTTTTGAAATGCTTAATAATACAAGCATACATATACTTAAGTACATACGCGTAAATTGAAAGGGAAAACGTACTCTCTGAATGTGCTGACCTTCGCAAAGTACAGATTAGTTTCTTGGGAGTAGGCTTTATGCCGAACCTCGAGGCAGCTGACAAAATAGGGTAAAAGAATGTGTTCCAGTTTGCCAAAAGGACTGCACAATACTATGAATCCCAGCTTAACCTTACCTAGCCTAAGTTAGTTTTAATTATGTACCGCCAACTACTCACTGGTCATGGATTCCCGCAAACTAAAATTGATTGAAATTATACGGGTAATATTAGCACTCACTAAGGCCTTCTATCTACCTTGTCCTTTTGCCAGACCACTTACCAGACGAAAAGCAGGGTCACGGCAACGTAGATCACTCAAACAGAAACTCTTTAAGGTGAAATGTATCCAAAATAAGGAGGATTGGGAACAATTTATGAAAAGCTTCCTAATGGAAACACACTATAAAGACAGCACGAATTTTATGGCCAATAAATGCTTCGATACTAATTCTATCTCGAACATTGCTAAAGTTGCATAATAAACAGAGAGATGTGGAAATGGACCATATTTTCTTCTTGAGCTTAAAAATAATTGGTTGCGTTTTCTGTGGAATGGAAAATTTTAAGTTAATACAATTTTGAAAAGCCTGTACGAAGTCTCATAATGCTTTAAATTTTCAATATGCTTTGTTAATTTGCGTTCAAGGTGCACCACTAGCGTCTCCTATTCACATAAATGATCAATAATATAAAAGAGATAAAGCGTGAACAGTTTTCCCATGCAGCTGAAAGCACATTTTGCGGCATAGCAAATTGTATGAAACAGAGCTGAACATAACTGCGAGAAAAATTAAAAAAAAAAAATTCAATTATGCTTCTTCAATTAACGTTACAAATCACGTCTGCATTTTCACTTTTTTCTTCAACCGTGCCATATTTTTATTAATTTTTTTCAGAGAAATGTGCGGATATCTTTACAATACATAAATGTATGTATATATTTATATTATTATAATATGCCATAATTATTACTGACCCAACTGTTGATTTGAAAAAATTGCCACGCCTAAATGTTTAACGAGATTTTGGAGTAAGTCATACACTCCAGTACATTTGGGTGTGAAAATATTTGCGGCATCTTCAATTGGCTTCAAATTTGGTAACATCTTTACAGATCAACAGAAGTGAAAATACAAGTGAAAAAGTATCAATATTATTTAACATACGCGATGAATAAAACAAATTTCACTTCACCTTGACGTATATACATATGTGCGTACATACATACATATGCAGGTAATTATTTGCCACTTACGAAACAATGCAATAAAAGTTTAAAACACTTGTACTCTTAATTGACAATACTCGACATTCATTAAACTCTTGTGTTCACCTTTGCTTATTTTTTTACTGCCGTAAGTAGTACATACTTTCATTTGTATTTGTGTTGGCATCTGTAGAAATGTTTGGTATGAAAGAAAGTGCTACCTTTTATTGATAAAAATTCCCTTAGACTGTGAAATGTATAATATCAATTTAATTGTAAAGTGCATTGTTATAGTTTTGAATGTCAAAGTCAAAAGTGTAATTGGACTGTCTTGTTTTCTTACAAAAGAGCTATTTCCGCAAGTACCTCTTTTAGTTTTAGTTAGAAACATTTTATTGATACCCGTACTTTTTTCTATTAATGAAAAGTATTGAAAACTCAGCTTATTTTATTAGATTGGCCAATTTGATTATTGTCATTATTAGATCAACAGAAGTCATATCAGCAATTTTTAGATTTTTTTTTTTGAAGGTTGCCACCTGTTTACAAATTTTAAATTAATTTAAATTGTAAGAGAAATTAAATATTGCAATATGGGTATCACACTAAAGAGTGTTTAAAAATGCTTACAGCGGAAAATTTTTTGTGGAAGGTTGCCACCTGTTTGAAAATTTTAAATTAATTTAGTTTGTATTAGAAATTAAATATTGCAAAACGGGTATCAAACTAAAGAGTGTTTAAGAAGGCTTACATCCGAAAATATTTTTGCGGAATGTTGCCACCTGTTTGATAATTTCAATTTAATTTCATTGATGGTAAAAATTAAATACTACAATATAGGTATCAAACTAAAGGGATTTGGGAAAGTTTACTGTCAGAAATATATTTGAGGAGAGTTGCCACTTGTTTGAAAAATTTTATTCAATTGATAAAATAAAATAAATATGTTTTGTAATATTTCAATGTAATAGTTGAAGAAAGTTAACAGTCGAGAATATTTTTTCAGCGGGTTGCCACCTATCTGAGCAATGTAATTCAGTTATATTGATAAGAATTAATATATATTGAATTGATACACCTAACTAGAAGGCGCAGACTCGAGCTATAAGATTATAAATTAATTTTTCAGGAAAAACTCGACAATTTACCGACTTTTTAAATACCTTCGAAAATATATTAACTGACACCCACATTCATAAAAAATAAAGAATGCTTCAGAAATCGATAATTTTTTAAATCTCACTTCAAAAAGCTCATTAAATCTACTTTTTTTATCGATTAGGCCATAAGAGTCTGTCTAGGCAATAAAATTTTACGTTATGATTGCAATATAAGAAGCTTACTCTAAATTATAAGTGTTGTATAACAATTTAATGCTTCAAAGGAGACTTTAAAAATAACAAATCACATAAGTTAACTGTATTAAGATTTTTATACCGATAAGCGTGAAAATGCATTAGTTAGGTAATTAACACTTACGCCCCGACAAAAAAAAAGAAATTAATCAATCATCATGCTGATGAGTTGAATAAAAGATTGCAGCAAGCAACTTCCAATGCATTTATAATAGCAGTTGATAGTACCAAGAAGATGCACAGAAGCTAAAAGCAAACGTGTGACTAAAATTTTGTAACAAATAAAAGTTAAAAAGGGAATAGACATGTTGCTACTTTTTGTTGTTACGCTAGCCGCTGACGTGTGCTTTTATGTAATTTTTCATGTCGAACGCTGGCTTTTACCATTTCACACACTCCATTTGTTTACTTAAGACATCTTACTTGTTACTGGCCCTCGTCGAGGCGGCAAATGAAAAGGAAAAATGGAAAAATAAAAATGTTTCTTTGAATACTTGACAGAGGTGCTAACGGAAATACAAATTTAACTTCAAAGCATTTTAATGGCAGCCAACTACACAATACAGCAAACGACGAAATCCAGAGTGGCACACACGTTGCAATTGAAATTTGCTAATCCAACAGCAGCACTTAACTGCTTAAACGAATATCAACTCTTCAAATTGAAGCAAAGTGCACATGAAATCTGTTAATAAATGCCGCTTTAATAGTGAGACCTCGAAGCTTTTCTTCCATCGAGTAGTAAACTGCTTTGCCTACCCCTCCTGCAATTATTTAATCACATATCTGCGTACTCACCTACTGCTGCCTTTCCCGCTTCGGGTACGTCACGTATCTGCCGCACCAGCGCCTTTGTTGCACCTGTTGTCTCAGCGTCATCATCACCAAATAAGCTTTCACTTATATCGTCTTTTATCCAACTCCATACAGTGCGTACTACACCCCAAACGCTAAACGTTGAAGCTGTGTCATCATCTTTTTCGGCTGCCTCCAAAGCTGTTTCACTCTTCGATGGCTTTCCAGCCTGCTTATCTGCCTCATCATTCTCATCAGCGTCATCGTCATCTTCATCATCGTCGGTATCCTCCACATCTTCAGAATCTGTTGCATTTTCATCTGTGCTAGCATTGGAATCGATATCTAGTTCTGTGCTACCTTCTTTTGCCGCCTTTACCTCAGCAGTTCCATCAGCTGCCACCACTTTAGTCTCTTCAGTGGCACTGTTCAGCTCCACATTACTCGAATTTTTTATGCTTGTAGTTGTGTTTGTTGTTTTTGTTGTTATTTTTGCAGCGTAGGCTTGAGTGTGCAAGCAGAACACAAATGTGATTACAAGCAGCACGAATGGCACACTCTTCGGAAGATTTAAGCGAAACTGAAAAAGACAAGCAAAAAAAAACAGATATGATTTACTTAAGAAGTTAAGTGAAAAACTGCGAAGCAATGTGTAAAAAAAGCCAGTACTATTATATTAACCCATATCTTGTCAACTAAAAAAATTCGCTACCTCAAACAATGCACAGCAAACAAAAGACTTAGGCAGCGAACTTGCTCTGATATTTCTCATAAAGCCTAATCAAAAAAAGTTTTTCTGCTTTTAACGTTTAAATAAATTAAGTTTTGTGAGTTCTATAAAAAATTAAAAGAAAAATGCTCTTTTCAGCTTTGTTTCTACACCTATTGTCCCTTGTAGGGCTTCTCTCTTCCAAAACTCGTATGGCTTAAAGCTTTATAAAGTGAGATTTTCAAACTAATTTTTGATTTATAAAGCATTTAAAGTCTTTTTTTTATTTTCTACGTATGCAGGCGGTTTTTTTATATATTTTCGAAGGCCTACCTCCTCAAAATTTAACTTATGCTCTTCTATTTTGAGTCAACATATCGCGCACTTTCTTCAATGATGCTTTAGTCCAATACCGTGTATCTGTCTTTCATAAAAGGTTCAAATCAAACTTGTGTGTATGTAAATTGAAAAACTATCTACTTCATTAATACTACAGTCTTGAAGTCGCTGCAAAACACGCCGGCTATTTGCTAGTTGAAGGTATTTCTTAAACAAATGCCTTACGTTTGATACCCGTATTGTAATATTTAATTTATTTTATCAATTAAATTAAATTGAAATTTTCAAAACATGTGGCACCCCGCCTCAAAAATATTTTCGACAGTAAACTTTCTTAAATCTCTTCAGTTCAATACCCGTAATTTAACATTTTATTTATTTGATTAATTTAATTTCATTAAAATTTTCAAAGAGCTGGCAACGCTCCTCAAAAATATTTTCGGCTGTAAGCTTTCTTAAAACTCTTTCTTTTCATAGCCGTACAGAAATATTTGCTTTATATTGTCAATTTACTTGAACTCTAATTTTTAAACAGGTGCAACTCTCAATTTTTTATTTTTTTTTTGTGGCATAAGCCATGGTAGATAGGGGCAGCCACGCAATTTGTCTACCTACTAAGTTTATTAAATGTAGCGTTCAAACAAGGCACCGTCTGCTCGTTCCCAGAAAACGTGTTACTTCCTCAAAATAAGCAACCAAAATACTTACATATAATCTAGCGGGTAAGTGAGTTTAATTTTGTGAGTTTAGAGAGCTCTGGTATTATCCTTTAAAAGAGCAAGCCAAACCTTTCACAGTCCTTATTTCGAAGCTTCCGACCGTTTTATGCTTAAAACAAATTAGTGCTAGCATAACGCATTTTATGGATCAGCATAACAACGCACTATTAAGCCCATAGGATACGTGTTGGAGTAGTGAATGATGTGGCTAAATTTTTTAAGACACAGTTCCAATAAAAAAATTGTATGAAGGTTAGGAAAGACTATAATAGCCTCGGCTCGATGAAACCCAGTATAGGAAACAATAGCAATGACATATTGGGAGCAGAACTCACTAAGTATCCTACACTCAACTGATTGCAAATTGATATGCAGTAGTTAAATTTATATTCATTAAATCGCTACAAAAATGTGAGATGTTAATTTGTCAGCGGTCATTTGCCGAGCACAGTTTTCTTACTGAAGATTGTTAATAAGCTTTTGGAGAGCAAATAAAACCAATTTACACATGGTCGAGTGCAAAATAAAGACACCAACTAATTTGCAAAAATGCCAAAAGGTTTGCTAAGCATCATATTAGCGCATTTTGCCAGGTGCCTTGAGCTTCCTCAAAAGCTAAAAAAGGAAAGCAGCCAGTTAGACTTTGCATAGCATTTTAGCAAATTTGTAAACATTTTATGCGAAGTCGAAGGCATAAAAAAGGCATATATCAGCAGATGTTACGAAACCAAGCAAAGAATAAACAAATGATTAAAATTTCTCCGGAAATACATATTTCGCTGAACAAAGCGCACAGCAGTAACTGCTCCAAATATGCTAACACTTTAGGTACATACAAATTTCAAGCTTGAAAGAAATACGAAATGAAATTGAAACTTAAAACGAAACTGAGATTTTTGCAAAGAAAAGGGAGTGTGAACTATATACATATGTACATATATAATTCCATATTTGCATATGTTCAACGTAACTCTTGTTTAAAGAAAGTGAATTGCCACAACAACAACTGATACAACTGGCAAAAGATGTAGCGAACATGTGCCGAAAAATAAATACTTTACGCTTCACAAATTTATGTAATAATGCAAAGTGGTTGTAAATTCGCATTAAATTTAGTCATCGTAGAAAATACCACCAAAAACCACAAGTAAATAAATTATTCAAAGTTTAGTTTAAAGACTTGCTTTGTGCCGACTTTGCGGTTTGGGTTTTTGGTAATAAAGTCAACACTATGTTATTTAGTAATTATAGTAGGGTTGGGTATTTTGCACTACGAAATTTTTGTGGAATTTGGCTTTTAATATATTGTACTTATTTCTCGGTTTCTCTGACGGTTCTTATTATGATTATCAATGAATAATTCTCAAGCACTCAATTTGTTTTTTTTTTCTACATACATAGTTTGCTTAAATGCCGCATTGAATGCTGTACATAAACCAGTGGTAGGTGGACATTTTTTTTTATGTAAAAGTCCGTTGTTCCACGAATTGTGTTGATATACTTTCGTTAGCACTCTTCCCACTCGCTTTAGATACATATTTGCACGAGTTTGTCAAATTTTTAACTCACACTTTACTTTTTTGTTAATTCACAAAAAGTACGTTCGGCGAATGAAATTGGCGAAATTCTTTTTATGATTTACTACACTTTCTCCTTGCTTTGTATTCATGTCGCCTATTTATTCCCGCCATCAGTCATTCATGTCAACACCAAATCACTTCCCCCACATATAGGCACGTCTCATTTATTTAAACTAACCACCGTGCCGGTGAAATATCGCAAATTGGTGGCTGTCCAAGTTTGGTAACAAAAGCACCGTAAATGACTTATTTAAAATATTAAACTGAATGAAATAATTAAGTAATTAAGTAATTGTAATGCGTGCATAGGTCACTTACTATATTAAACTCGAACTTCTATTTTCGCTATGGAGGAAAGTATATACGGTTGCGAAAATTTAAATAGGGAAGAGACATTTTAGCGAGCTTCGGCTATTTTTTTTTTTATGAAAAGGGAGCTTACTACCTCAACAAAACTATGTAAATCAGAACTTCAAACTTTGTAGAACATTTATAAAAATTCGACGAATTTTAACAAATGTTCATCAAAATTTTAAAATCTTCAATCAGATTATTTTGAGTATGTATGTATTTTTGGAAATAGCACCGATAAAAACTTAAAAAAATGATTTTATGCTTTAGCAAAAAATGCATTAATTCAAAAAGTGCAAAAAATGAGCAGGGTTTTATTTCTTCTTTCGAAATATAAATCCCGTTCTATTTAAAACAAGTAACAAATAATAATATATTTTTACATATATTTTTTATTCATTCCATTAAAATTTACCTGTTTTTAATTTTTGAAAACTGCTTTTCTAGAATACCGCAGGGACACCCTGTATTTAATTTTATTCCAAACGTTCTATTCCTGTAGTTCTCTACTATACATATGGAAATAAAAAAAGTCAAACGTTCAAATTGCAGACAACAAATTTTTTGATTTTTGCCAACAGAGGTGGCACTGTGCGTAGGTCAGAAACTAACTCAGATATTTAGAGAGGTCACGGTCCTGTCTCCATACATGAAAACTGGTCCATTAAGTTATCGCCTAATCAACATCAAGTGTTGGTTGATGTAATATGGTGTTAAGTTTCGAAAGTATGATATTTTTCTCATTTTTAGACTTGGCAATAAGACCCAATTGGCACTCCTCAAAAAATTTAGCCGTTACGTGTTGCGGGGGTCTATTTTTCTTCTTTTTTTTTTGTTAGCCACTTATAAAAGCTTGACTTATTTTTTTTATTACTTGTTTTCTTTAATAGCTCCTGTAATAAACTAAATAACAAAAACAGCTCCTAAAGCCTCAAAGAAATTTCCTGCATGGATAACTTCAAAGTATATTATTTCATATAAGTCAATTTGTAAAGGCGTCGGATGTATTCTAAAATTTAGCATTGCTAATTATCTACTGTACCGTAATTTTTTCAAGCTTCTTAAAGCACTGAATTTTAGTATGTTTTAATAATTACTTTTTTCGCAGCCCGATCCTCAAGTTACTTCGGCCTTTTTCTGCCTCCAATAGATACGTTTAAGCAAACCGCAGGGTCGTATCTTATTAAGCAAGATTTCGGATATGAAACTAAATGTAAGTATGTATTGTTGCTTCTCTGACAAATAACACTTCAGCATTTCTATCGCACATTCTCTGCAAAAATTAAACATTTCTCTTCACTTGAATGCAGAATTTAACGCAGTAGGAGTTCTTCAAATAAGGAAACGCTATCCGTATGAATGTTAATAAATATTTTGATATCTACTTTACATCATTATTGTTGTTGCAAAAACTAATTTCACACACTATTAAAGTTTTTGGTCTAATATTTTTCGCATCTTTAACTGTAATTAGAAACTTAACATAGATAAAATTGCTTGGCTTTAGTATGCGATCCACAACAAACAATGCTGGTCTTGAAATCGATGCCAGTTTATTGTTTCGCTAGCGGCAACTGTTTGGCAAAGAAATACATATTTACTATGCTTAAGTTATGAATTCTACTTAACAAGACGTTAAGTATTTCTTTTATGACCAATAACGAGCTGTTAGAAAATATGAATGGCTCCTAAATA